ATTACAAAACAGCTACGACAATAACCCCCATTTCATCAATCCCAACCCTCTTAATGTGGTATGGAACCCTTGTGCTAAAATTTCATACAGATCCATACACTTGTACTAAAGTTATTGTCTACGAACCAATCTACATTCTATGAACCAGTAAAACTGACCTTTTTTGGCCGCTAATTACAAAACCGCTAGGATAATAACCCCCATAATCAATCCCAACCCTCCTAATGTGGTATGGAACCCTTGTGCTAAAATTTCATACAGATCCATACACTTATACTAAAGTTATTGTCTGCGAACCAATCTATATTCTATGAACCAGTAAAACTGACCTTTTTTGGTCCCTAATTACAAAACCGATAGGACGATTAGCCCCCTCCCCCCCAAAAAAAACAATCCCAAAATCAACCATCCTTTAGTAGTATGCATGAGCGGATCCAGCCATTTATAAAAGGGGGGTCCAACCCCCGGCCCCCCTTTTGGATCCGCCACTTTTGTGGAACCTTGTGCTAAAATTTAATACATAGAGACCAATACACTTATACTCAAGTTATTGTCTGCGAACCAAAATGTCTTCGGACGCTGACGCAGACATCGCCCCATAAGGGAAAAGGAAAAAATAGAGGGTCCATGCCGTAAGCGCCTGTGGTGTCGGTTCCGGAGAAATGGAATTCATCAGATTTTGAACTTATTCTGAATATATATAGATCTTCCGTTCAATTGTACATTACTTTTATATTAACGTTAATGATAGTATCATTATTTATGCACTAACAGTTAAACTTTTGTGCTACATTGGCGATTTACCTTTGCCTTAATGGATAATTTAAGATAACTGTATCGATCTAAATATATATATTGCTGTGTATTTCATCATCAATGTTTGATTTACCTTGACCGATTAAAGAAGTAGGGCAATATTTATTTCAGCTGGATGTCTGCCAAATATATACTTTCCGAACAACTTTTATTAATCATTTAAATGTCCATAACGAAAAATCTAAAAAATTTCGAAATGAAAAAAAAAATCAGTTTCCGTCGGGTACCATAAACTCTTTTACGGCAAAGCAGTCTTACTTTTAAAACTTCCCATTTATGATTTTGTAGTGACAATATACATTTGATATTTTAACTCATACAATTTAGTTTGTTAAATAGAAGTGGATCATAACACAAGCGCTCGGGGAATGGACCCCCCTTTTTTTCTATTTTTTGCCGATTTGATACTTATCATAAAATATTCTTTAATATTTTGACCTATTCACATATCCATACGATAATGACAACAACATTAGTTTAAATATGATTCCCATCTTTTCTTATATTTTACATTATAGTATGGATCAGAACAAGAACACACTAATCAGATAAGTGAAAATAGGTTATAACATTGAAGAATATGTACTAAATAAAAATTTAAAACAAAAAGAAAATAAGGGGTCCATTCCCAAAGCGCCTGTGGATTACAAGTTGCCAAACTGTTTCGAAATACGGTAAATAATATGTTATATATTTCAGAAATCTGTGTTTTTCAAACAACTGATAGCACATGAAATAAACTGCTTCGCCGAGCGCAGCTGGATACGACCGCAGAGGTCCAACCCTGAACAGTTGGGGCAAAAATGGACACAATATTCAAGCATGATACAGGTCTGAATTTGGATTGTAATTAAATATTTGACACATTATAGGTTTCTGACACAGAATAAATGTAGTCAAAGAACTTGAAATTGGTTGTATGATTTGAATTTATATTCAATTGAAGATTTCTTGCTGTTGTGAATACACTGTGCTGTTGCGCAATACTAAGTAAATCTGTTTTCAGACTATATACAAAGAATTGGCAAAATAAATTGTGACGCCCAATTTTTTTCTTTGGAAAATTGACAATTTCTTCAATCTTAAGGCGGGAAAAAAATTTACCCCCCCCCCTCCAATTTTGAAGAAATTTTCTTTTTGTAAAATGTGGTACAAATTAAGAGACTTCCATACACTTAAACACAAGTTATTGTCTGAAAACTAGAAAAATGCTTGTTTTTGAGACCCTTTTTGGCCCCTAATTCCTGAACGGTTTGGACCATCACTGCCAAAAACAATCTCAACCTTCCTTTTGTGGTATTGAACCTTTTGCTTATATTTCATAGGGATCCACCCCCCAAGGGTGACTGGGGAATAGAAGTATGGTCACCATTGGTCTTCCTCCGACCGGCAGTAAAACCCGTGCTAAAGTGGGGCGTCCGTTTGGCTGTGCGGGATGTACAAATTTGCAGCCACGTCCGGTCAGAATGGGGACGTTAAATCCGATGCCTCGTGTAAAGAGAGTGCCACGCTTTTTGCACGTTAAGAACCCTTGCAACAACTCTTTGAGGGGTCCGTAGGTGACCTGTTGCAAGGCTAAATTTCTGTCCCTATCCAATATACCCTCATTTCCCGTGGCAGTCTAAATTTCTCCGACCTTAACCCCTTTATCTATTACAGAACCTACCTATTGTATTTATTGTGAACTTGTTCTCGTCCTGAATATGCATGAAATATTTGCCACTGGACGTTAAGCAACCAACAATCAATCAATCAATCATAGGGATCCATACACTTAAACTAAAGTTATTGTCTCGAATCCAAATGTATGATTTGAATTTATATTCAATTGAAGATTTCTTGCTGTTGTGCAATACACTGTGCTGTTGTGCAATACTTATTAAATCTGATTTCAGACTATATACAAAGAATTAGCAAAAAAAATTGTGACCTCCAATTTTTCACTTTGAAAAATTGAGTTTCTTTCTTTATACGTGATTTTAAAGCAGTGTAAGGGAGGTAATCAAAACGTTGTGTTTGGATTACCTCCCTTACACTGTTTTTAAATTGTCTTAATTGTCCATTGACCAGAAACCCTTGTTTTTCCCCTTTTTTGCCCCTAATTCATTAACGGTTTGAGCCATAACCCCCCAAAGCAAATCCTAACCATCCCTTTGTGGTATGGAAACTTGTAGTATAATTTCAGAGAGATGCATACACCGTTCCACAAGTTTTTTGTCTGGAAACTAGAAAAATGCTTATTTTGGCCCCTTTTTGGTCCCTTATTCCTAAACTGTTAGGATCTTAACCACAAAATCAATCTCAACCTTCCTTTTGTGGTTATAAACCTTGTGTTTAAATTTCATAGATTTCTATTTAAATTACGGTATACTATTTAAGTGTAACCGGAGAGCATGAACGTTAGGACTTGGGACTAAAATGGTTCAAATGGTACAATTTAAAAGCCCTACTTAAAGTAATACATTTTCCCCCTTTATTTAACTTCTGTATTGTTGTACAACTTACTGTCATAATATAAGAATATTTATTGTGTATTTTGGTATGAAATAAATATGATAATTTAGGTATTATTTCTTTAAGATTTCCCTTCCTAGAATGCTGGCTTATACTTGTCATAATCATTTCCCGGTCAAGTATTAGCTTTGTCCTCCCAGAGAATTGTCCGTTATGTCGGTTGTTGTAGACACTTGTCCCCTAGTGTGACAAGGTGTCCAGGGCAGAACTGGTCTTCATTGTTTATGTAAAGAACCTGGGTTTATTTGGTTATTTCGTGACTGCGCTAGCATTAAGTAAGAAGGTATCCAGAAAACGTTACTTTTACTTGAATGTCAGATCAGTCCGTTCACATAAGTTATTGTCCGGAAACCAACTGTCTTCGGACGACGACGACGTGATACCAATATACGACCGCAAAATTTTTTGCGGTCGTATAAAAACGAATTAAAAGATTTCTTCATAGACCATTCGCCAGTAATCAAACTAACGGATATTTCATATTTATTGCATGGGAGTTCCGTGGTCTCTGCATATTGTTAGTGCCGAAATTTCGGACTACAATAATGGAAGTATTCATAAGTGGTCATTTTTTTTTCGATTATGTATCATCTTATCCAACCAAAGTAAAATTTTAAAAATTGTGACAATTAATTTTGTATTTTTTTTTTAAACACTTTTTTTTTGACTTCAGTATCCCTCTGGCAAGCGAAAACACTTTCGCCATGGAATAGTTATCTATATAAGTAACAAACGAATAAGCTTCAGTTAAAAGTCTGCATGCAGCTATAAGCATGAAGAAAAGAATGCATGATTTACAAGTTTAGCAATAAAATAAAAATAAAAGAAGCCTCTAAAGATGGATGTGAGTTAAGCTGCTTAAATTTAAAAATACTTTAAAAGCGACCGGCTGAAAATAGCTTTTTTCTACTATTGCCAGATATTCCATACATGTAGATATCTTTTAATTTCTACAGTAATTTTTGTTCAAAGTCATTATTTTAGTAGTAATAAAGTACAGATGTAGCTTCAAATTATTCATAAATTCCAAACAAAAGTGAAGAATCAATGTTTATGTATGAGGGTCGACTGGATGGGGTTTACTGAATAGATAATGGGCAAATGTTGCAGAATAAAGGACAAAAAAGATAAAGAAAAGAGAGTAATGGGGTCCTAAAATATAAAGCATAGAGAATAATTGGCAAAATTTATAAAGAATTAGAGAAAAACGGCTAAAAAATTTAATAATACAAAAATAAAGAACCCCGATCCTGACCCTCATGTATAGCTCCAACACGGATAAAGCCTCAATGTAAGCATATGGGGAGTCATAGGTTTTAAGGAGGGTCTAAATGGGGGTCCTTCATTTCTGTATTCTTTAATCTTTTAGGCCATTTTTCTCTATTCTTTATACATTTTGCCCATTATTCTCTATATTTCAGTACCTCATTATTCTTTATTCGTTAAATTTTAGCACCTCATTATACTCTATTCTTTATATTATATCACCTCATTATTCTCTATTCTTTATTTTTTGGTCCATTTTTCTCTATTCATTATATTTTTTGCCAATTATCCTCTATTCTGTAAACCCCCATCTACACCCTCTTTATTCGGTAAAGAAACTTCTAGCAAACGAATATTCTAGAGTCACTATACAAAAAATCCGGTTAAAAATGACGTGTTGAAAATCCACCAGTATATAAGGAATATCGGTAGAAGTTAATCATAGTATTTTTTTCCGAAGCATTACAATATAACTCAGATCGAATGAATATAACAACATTACACTCAAACATTTTAGTAAGTATTTTTAAATATTTGTTTGTGTATTTCATCCGGTCCGCCAACGTTTTAAATAATAGATCATAATATACAATTCCTTGCTTATGCTAAGTCAGCATTTGGTAAGTAGCATAAGCAAGTCCTATGAATATCCTTTTGTTTACAAACAAACCATTGGCTGCTAGGGGATCAAAGGTTGGCTGTTCCGTTATTTTTTCACCTACGGTCGTACATTTTGTTTGTTCATTTAAAAAAAAACGAAGATCCGACCGTTTAAATACTTTTACTTTTAAATCGCTACATAAGTTTAGTTTTGACTCTAAATGTTGAAGGGAAAATAAATCAAATTCCTAGTACATTCATCTTTAATATTGATTATCAGTTGCGGTTTGTGGGTTTGTTGGATTGGCTAAATGACTAGGACTTCTAATTTCGTCAATTTTTGCTTTGTCACATGGAAGAAAATTTACACATGACGTTTCGGAAAATTCTCGGGTGTATTCGTACCGATCAAAGAAAAGGCCAAGTTCCGATGTTTTGATTGATACAAAAATAGAAATTATGATAGAGATAAAGTAATCTGATTGGGTAGTATTTTTAAACACTTCATCATATCTTATTTTAGAAAGTATTGCACCATAAGAGCCTATGTTCGCGCAATAGCCGGCATTAAGACGAATGTAAGAACAAGCAACACAGTACCCAACAATAGGTAAATTTTTATAGTAATGGGGGACACTTCTGTACGAAGACAAATTGATCAAAGAACAGTTAAAACAATATTTTCGCGATATGACCCAAAAATATCAAAAAGATTGGTCAGGTTTTATTTCTTACTCTATTTTCTTTCAGTCCCGGCCAGGTCCGGCAAAAGCCAAACACGAAGCCAAAGTCCTCAGCGACTTGAGTCAAGACGAAGGGATCTTTCAGATCCGAGAAAGAGAGCAGATTTCTGCCGAATAGTTAGGCGTTTAACTGCCAAGATTCGACACAAGAAGACCCCCGTTTTAAAACAGGACTCTTCTAAACCATGTACGGACCGGACGACAGTAAATCGGAGCAACAAAATGGCTATAGTGCCACAGGCTGTATGGGCAGAGCCCCAAGAAACCTGGACGAACTCGTGGACTTGTTGGACTTCAGAATTCCTGGAGGAGAAGGAACAGTCTTTGGATTGGGATTTGAAACAGATATTACCCACGACATCCAACACTTCAATGACTTCACTACGTTTGGACCAAAAATCAAGTGGCCCATTTGACAAAGGTATAGTTTTAACAAACTAATAATAAGATCTGACAAACATGTATAATTTACATTTGTTTAAAATATTTAAATTATTTGAAGTACTTTAATACATGAACAAATAGAAAAAAATAGAGATTAATATACGCAAAAAAGTAAAAATAATACATTTGTAATTTACAGGTATTTAAAATGCCTAGGTACTGTTTCTTTTTCTTGTATACTAAGACATAGTAGTTTTTGAAAGATAACAAAAAGATGTGAGGAAGTGAGGAGAGCATGATTGGAAGATTAACAGTGGAAATGAAACAGGACAAAGTTTTGCATGGCAGATGATCATGTTATGTTAATTTCATTTTTTTAGAGTGGAATGACATGACCATGGATATGACCAATTTTAAAGAAATAAAAAAAGAAAGTCTTTCCTTAGAAGATATGAACTTCCCATTGGACATCGACATGCCAGTCGATGCCCATAACATGTCTGAGGATGACTTCCTTGATAGCTTCATGGATCTTTCAGAATTCCTGATACCAGTAAGTATTGTTTTATTATGTTTACAAATACATTGATCTCAATATTATTAATTAGATCCTCTTTTTTTCTGTATACTGAATTCGTCTACATATAAAGCTTTTTAACTTGAATCGTCAATTTACATTAACATATGCAAACTTGCTCATTATAAACTCTGAAAAAAACTAAATGCAGTTTTATAAATACATATTGGATGACATAAAATCTAACTTCTTGGAATCATCTGGCTGTTGAATGGTACAAGCAGATGCGAATCTAGGATTTTAGAAAAAGGCTTGCCTGTTGGCCCCAAACTAAAGTTTGGAGTGGAACCGGTAAAAAGTCTGGATTATCCATAAATGTAGCTCCATAAAAGGGGGGGGGGGGGCAATTTGCCTCTGGCAAGTGTAAAAACTCAGATGTTTGAATGAGCAAGAAATTTGAATTTAAAAAGTAAATTAGTTTTAAAATTATTAATTAACTGATCTGTTTCAGGAACAACCATTAGAGGAAATGGAGGAGGTACAGAATGTTATACACATAGAACCCTTATCCAATCCTTCTTTTGTGGTTGAACCAGTACCAGAGGAATCAATCATCTGTGAAGAAGTGGTATCTCCAGTGTCAGTGAAGCGTGAAATTGATGACATAGACTGGCAGCCAAACAGTGATCATGACTATGTCACCAAGAAACCACGCCTCTCTCCTTCACCTGATACTGATGTAGAAACCACTAAAATTGCATCCACTTCTACATCAAAGAGCATCAATAGGAAAGTCGCTCCAGATCAAAAGTACCGTGAGAGAAGAAACAAGAATAATGTTGCATCTAGACGATCAAGAGAAACCAGAAAGATGAAATTTGTTGAAATGGAAGATGAAGCAAACCGTTTGGTTGTTGTAAATGCAGAACTAAGAGAAAAAATAGCAGAAATGGAAATATTGGCTAAAGACATGAAAGCTTTGCTCGTACAAAAATTAGCAGCAAAATAATGAAAACAGATATTTTATTGCAAGAACTGAATGAGTTACGGTACTTTTGTATCTTGAGATCTGTTTGTTGTGGTTTAACATGTTTTGTTTCATTGTGAAATAGTCATGAAATCATGTAAGATTGTGTAGTAGATAAAGATTGAAAACGTAAGAAAAAATTGTCAAGTAATCAGCACAGTTTAACTTGTATGTATTATAGAAGGTTGTTTGTTTGTTTGTTTGTAAAATTACCTGTATTGTAGGTATATTTATTTGTGAAAAAAAATATGAAGAAGACAATTTAAATATATAAAAAAAAGATTTAATACTATTATATAAGAAAAGATTTAAGTGTAGAGAAACACTCAGAATTTGGCCTCATGCATCAGATGGTCATCATGTACAAACACATTAATGATTCTCTATAATTCATTGTACAGTACATATTTGTATGGAAAAAAAATAGAAAATGAAAAAAAGTTAAATCTTAAAAGGTAAAAAGAAATAAAAAATATAAAGATTATATTATTTTTGTTAACATCATATGTGTAGAGAATATTTTTTGCATCATCATGATTTAGATTTGTGTTGTCATTTGATTTATAAAGAAAGGATTCTTATGGCAGACATATGTTAAAAATGCCTAAATCCTATGTTGTTAGAGTAGTCGTTATCATTTTGTTAAGTTTTTGTTGCCATATGTTGCAAATTTATTCTAGGTTTTAAATTTAATTATGTTGCATTCAGTAATATTTAAAAGTTTATTTTATAGTATGTTAATCACTTGGAATCAACCTTGAAGAAAATATTTGTTCAAGGGTACATACAACCTACTTAATTATTTATGAAATTTTCTACAAATGAATTTAGATTGAATGAAAATTTTAAATGAGGTCAGTTTATCACAGTTTATCACACAATAAGTTTATAGACCATTTGATTAAAGAAAATTTACTTCTTAATAAAATCTTGCTTTCATTGCATACATGTAAATATATACATTGTAACTATGGCACTCAGGAATAATGTAATGAAACATGGTCAATGGGAGATTACTCTAAAGTACAAATAAAAGGTATTTGTGGCCATGATCATATTTACATATGGTACAATTAATTATTTATTAATTACCTATATTGGTAATAGACTCTATCTTGTTACAATGTAATGGCAGGTTATTTTTTTATACATTTCTAAGATTTATTTATCATTGAAAATTGAATAAAAATGTTAAATATATAGTTTGTTTTCATTGTGACAAAATTAGTATGTAGGCCGCTATCACAAAGAACTCAACCATAAAAGGTAAAAACTGTCAATAGAAATTAAATACAAAATTAAAATAAGATCTACAAATAAGTCAAATTATGTTTGGGGAAAAACTACAGAATATAGAGAGAAACTGTAAACAGAAAAAATTATCAGCAATTCAGGATCAACAAAAAGAGTTGCATGAATTCTATTCTACAATGTTCGAGAGTGTCCACTGTTGAAGATGCACATTAACCTAGGTGAACTACACAGGCTGTATAAAGCCTCTATAGTTTGTTTGATATAAAACAAAGAAGATGTGGTATGATTGCCAATGAGACAACTCTTCACCAGAGACCAAATGAGTAGAAGTTAACAACTTTAAGTCATTATAGCATTAAAGTTTGATTTATCTCGCTTGTCCAATTTGGCAATGTTACCTATTTCCTTCACTTGGTATCAGTTGTTGTCATCTGTCAATGTAATTCTATTAAAAATCTTCTTTAAAACAACAGAACCAATTTCAACCAAACTTGGCATGAAAGATCCTCAGGGATATGTGGTTTTGTGGCTGCAAACCAACTCGCATAGTCCTCATTGCTAAAGAAAGAACATGTAGATAAAATGCGATGGAATAATCTACTATATTAAAATTATTATGAAGAGAAAATCTAGCAGGGCCGTAATACTTGGAATGGCAGGATCTACAAACTTTCTATTTCTTCCAAAAATGAATGATCGACTTCTTTCAGAACAACATCTGACCTTTATACATAGAGAGAAAATTTAAACAGCTAACCCCATAAATTTATGAGTTGACATAATTGAAACTATAGATTGACAGCTGAAAACCCTAAAAGGACATTTTTTTGCGAATTTTGGCAATTATCTTCTAAAACAACAGAACTGGATGATAATCAACATAAGATCTACAAAAAGAAGGTCATCTATCTCAAGCTTGTCAACACTGGGGTTTCAAGATCGAACCCTGCACTTGGCCGTTACGTTTGACTCTAAAATTGCAGTTTTTATACGACCGCAAAAAAAATTTTTGTGGTCGTATATTGGTATGACGTTGGCATCGTCGTCCAGCGTCGTCGTCCGAAGACACATTAGTTTTCGCACTCTAACTTTAGTTTAAGTGAATGGATCTCATTGAAATTTTACCATAAGGTTCAATACCACAAAAGGAAGGTGGGGATTGATTTTGGGGGTTATGGTACTAACAGTTAAGGAATTAGGGGCCAAAAGGGGCCAAAAATAAGCATTTTTGTAACTTCCAGACATAACTTGTGTGTAAGTGTATGGATCTCTCTGACATTGTACCACAAGGTTCCATATCACAAAGGGAATGCTGGGATTGATTTTGGGGGTAATTGTCTCCAAATATTAGGAATTAGGGGCCAAAAAGGGGCAAAAAACAAGCATTTTTCTAGTTTCATGACAATAACTTGTTTGTAAGTGTATGGATCTTTATGAAATTGTACTACAAGGTTCCATATCACAAAGGGAATACTGGGATTGATTTTTGGGGTAATTTCCTCCAAATATTAGGAATTAGGGGCCAAAAAGGGGCAAAAAACAAGCATTTTTCTAGTTTCATGACAATAACTTGTTTGTAAGTGTATGGATCTTTATGAAATTGTACTACAAGGTTCCATATCACAAAGGGAAGGCTGGGATTGATTTTGGGGGTTTTCCCTAAAAATTTTAGTAGTTAGGGGCCATAAAAGGGCAAAAAAAACCATGCATTTTTCTAGTTTCAGGACAATAACTTGTGTGTAAGTGTATGGATCTTTATGAAATTGTACTGCAAGGTTCCATATCACAAAGGGAAAGCTGGAATTGAGTTTGGGGGTAATTGCCCTAAACGTTTAGGAATTTGGGGCCAAAAAACAAGCATTTTTCTAGTTTCCAGACAATAACTTGTGTTCAAGTGTATGAATCTCTCTGAAATTGTACTGCAAGGTACCATACCACAAAGGGAAAGCTGGGATTGAGTTTTGGGGCGATGAATCATAAGGGGGTTCAAAAAATTGGGGGGGGGGGGGGATTTTTTTTTTCCTTTTTTTTCTTTAACATTTTCCATTTTAAATTGGTTATTTCTGATTTATATATAAAAGCAAATAATAATGATATGGTTTGAATAGGCATACATGTGAACCTCCCGACGGGAGTACAATAATCCCGTTTTCAGGGGTCTCCTCCCCCCTCCCGTTGAAAAAATCCCGTGTATGAAATTTTTCATGAATGAAAAATTTCTGCCCAACATAACATCTCAGGCATCTGGTGTAACTGACATTACCTGAAGTTATATTTTACCTGTAAATCAATTAACATGCATAATTATATGGCTTCACTTGTCAGCTTGGGTGTCAAACATACTGGTAAGCAACGATTTTTACCTCAGGCTAACTGCCGTTGTGTAACAAAAACTGTGTATTTATTGGGTTACTTCCCTTGATTTATCCTGTTTTAAGTTACTTTCCTTTTAATAATGAAAATTTTTAAAAGAATATAAATAAAATATAAATTGAACAAATAATCATAAAAGGATGGTTATTAAATGATTTTAAATGTCTTAGGACAAATAAAAAAATAATAATTTGAAAATTATTTGAGGATTCTATACTTCCTTTTAAGGCTTAAATTGAAATTTATATAATAACTATGACCCTAACTTTACAGATAGAATGAATTTCTGAGTTTGCAAATAAAAACCATTTGCAAGAGAAAAAAAAAAACATAAAAACTATTTGCAGACAGCTAAACAAATGTTCTGATTGCAATGATTGTTTTATAGAATATGAAGTAAAAAATTTAAAGAACATACTGGAAAAAAACAATGTTAGATTGAACAGGTAGAATATAAAGATGGAGAAACTTTATAAATACAAGGGTACTATAAACATAATAAATTGGTTGGAAAGTTGAAGAAAACACACTTTAAAAGACCATTTTTACAGCACACGGTTACATTTACAACAAAATTAATGTCGATTAAAAACCTCCTGATCTGAGTTCTAATCTCCTGACCAAAATTTCCCAATCTCCTGATCTGAGTTTCACAGTCCATCACATGTATGAATAGGTAAATTGAAAATTTTTAAGTTCTTAGACCACTTTCATTCTGTGTCAGAAACCTATGCTGTGTCAAATATTTAATTACAATCCAAATTCAGTGCTGTATCAAGCTTGAATGTTGTGTCCATACTTGCCCCAACTGTTCAGGGTTCGACCTCTGCGGTCGTATCAAGCTGCGCCCCAGCGGAGCATTTTATTGTAACTTCCAGACATAACTTGTGTGTAAGTGTATGGATCTCTCTGACATTGTACCACAAGGTTCCATATCACAAAGGGAATGCTGGGATTGATTTTGGGGGTAATTGCCTCCAAATTTTAGGAATTAGGTGCCAAAAAGGGGCAAAAAACAAGCATTTTTCTAGTTTCATGACAATAACTTGTGTGTAAGTGTATGGATCTCTCTGACATTGTATCACAAGGTTCCATATCACAAAGGGAATGCTGGGATTGATTTTGGGGGTAATTGCCTCCAAATTTTAGGAATTGGGGGCCAAAAAGGGGCAAAAAGCAAGCAATTTTCTAGTTTCATGACAAGAACTTGTGTGTAAGTGTATGGATCTTTATGAAATTGTACTACAAGGTTCCATATCACAAAGGGAAAGCTGGAATTGAGTTTGGGGTAATTGCCCAAAAAGTTTAGGAATAAGGGGCCAAAAATAGGCATTTTTCTAATTTCCAGACAAAAACTTGTGTTCAAATGTATGGATCTCTCTGAAATTGTACTGCAAGGTACCATACCACAAAGGGAAGGCTGGGATTGATTTTGGGGGTAATTCCCTCAAAATTTTAGTAATAAGGGGCCATAAAAGGGCAAAAAAACAAGCATTTTTCTAGTTTCAGGACAATAACTTGTGTGTAAGTGTATGGATCTTTATAAAATTGTACTGCAAGGTTCCATATCACAAAGGGAAAGCTGGGTTTGAGTTTGGGGGTTATTGCCCTAAACGTTTAGGAATTTGGGGCCAAAAAACAAGCATTTTTCTAGTTTCCAGACAATAACTTGTGTTCAAGTGTATGGATCTCTCTGAAATTGTACTGCAAGGTACCATACCACAAAGGGAAAGCTGGGATTGAGTTTGGGGGTGATGAATCATAAGGGGGTTCAAAAAATTGGGGGGATTTTTTTCTTATTATTTTTCTTTAAAATTTTTCATTTTAAATTGGTTATTTCTGAATTATATATAAAAGCAAATAATAATGATATGGTTTGAATAGGTAAATTAAATTTTTTTAAGTTCTTAGACTTTCATTCTGTGTGAGAAACCTATGCTGTGTCAAATATTTAATTACAATCCAAATTCAGTGCTGTATCAAGCTTGAATGTTGTGTCCATACTTGCCCCAACGGTTCAGGGTTCGACCTCTGCGGTCGTATCAAGCTGCGCCCAGCGGAGCATTTTATTAATAAAGTTGGTCCAGTCAACTTGAAACTTAGTAAACATGTTCCCTATGATATGATCTTTCTAATTTTAATGCCAAATTAGAGTTTTGACCCCAATTTCACGGTCCACTGAACATAGAAAATGAAAGTTTCGAGTGGGGCATCCGTGCACTCTGGACACATTCTTGTTTATTTCTCCCAAGAACAGTACATATGATAAGCAAAACAATACATTACATGAATTATATTTAGGAACAAAGTATATAGTTATTATATATAATACCTTTGTCTCATCTGTTTCGTGAATGATTTTTTTTTATTTTCTTAAATAAATCAACACCAGTTATCCCCTCTTTGTAAAATTTTCTTGTCTGCTCAAGCCTAAACATTTTGCTAAAAAAGGCATATAAATAGGATTTGTAATTATTTTTGTCACATGTAAAAGAGTGACTTTCGTTTATTTATTTTCAAAAATTACAGTTTAATACTATTCTGTAGGATTTTATCTTGAAAATATACATATA